GGAAAACATTTCTACTACGATAACCCTGAAGGAGGTGTAAAAGAAATAACTGCATAGCAACCACCACGGAAAGCTGGGCGCAAGCCAAAAAACCGCATGTGAACTTACTGTCATGATTGTTAACTGCCGCAGTGTAAAAAATAAAGTGGAAGACTTGGCTGACGCCATTACTCTGACTAAGCCTAGTATTGTTATTGGTATGGAGTCCTGGCTGGAAGATTCCATAAGCGATGCTGAAGTGTTTCCCACGGATTATGTTGCATACCGCTGAAATAGAAACAGATATGGCGGTGGTGTCTTTCTTTTAGTTCATGACAGCCTGCAAAGTTTTGAGATCAAGGTTAATGGTGTGAATTGTGAATCGGTATGGTGTAAGATTTAACTAGAAAATGGCAATTGTATTACTGTGGACTCCTTTTATTGGCGACGTGCGCGACCGAAAGCGTCGCTGTGGTCGGCCTTCCACGATTGACCCAAAAGCTGACTATGACGTCGGAAAGGGGATTTATCATCGACGGAAATAAGAGGAATGAAAGAACTTTAAATTCGACGGTGTTGGCAGTGTTGCTTTGAGAGCGCAATTATTTCAGGCTTCCACCATGCTATTCACAAACACCATCGAATTTGTTGTTCGCAAGGTAATGACGTCACAAGGGGGAACCATAGGAGGGCGCCACCAAAACATCTCGCCGCTAATAGGCCTCCTGGCTCAGATGAAGCTGTAATCTTCCCTCTTTTTGCTATATTGTCATTCATCGCGACTATGGCGACCTCGTGCTTGGTGGTGATTTTTACTTTTCTGATGCGGAGTGGGCAGACGGTCAACCCATAACGCTCAATACTTCTTTCGCGTACAGGATCTTTCTCAATTTTGTGTCCAGCTTTGAGCTCTTTCAGCGTCTGTCATTTTCGACAAGGCTGGGTAAAATGAAGGCCAGCACGTTGGACTTGCTTCTTAGTAATAATAAAAGTTTTATATCCTCTCTCTCTAAGATTTCGGAGACTAGCGATCACGAAATCATAGTAGGTAATATAACCAGCAGGTGCGAAAATAAAGGGTCGAACCCACCCAGAAACGTTTTTTTGTATGACCGCGGTAATTCTGAAGCCATCTCAAATGAACTCTGGAAATATTTCTCCGAGTTTAGAGAGGTCTTCCACCACCTTGATGTTGAAACTTGTAACTCTTTGGAATCTTTTTAGGAATAAACCTATTTATTTAGTCGAAGTATTCATTCGTACCAGGTGTGGATGAAAGCCAAACTACGCTCCTTGACCAAAAGGTAAAGGCAAGCATATTTGAAATATCGCAACAAAAACGACTCTGCCTCTCTTTCACAACAAACGGTCTTCTGTAAACAATTCAAAAATAAATCGGGTGATAGTAAACTCGGATGTCAAGTGTCCTTAAATGATCAACCGAGAAAAAAAAACCAAAAGAACTCCGGAAATATGTAAAGTCAGCAAATAAAGTAGGATTCGGAATTCCCCCAATGGCTAACTGCGGACAACTCGTCGCAGAAGAGGAAGAAAAAGCGATGCTTTTTAATAGGTACTTCCGATCTGTGTTTTCGACCGTACTTCCTAATGAATACCCGCTTTCCTCTGATATGTTGCTAGAATGTATGGACGAAATTCAAATTTCTTATGACGAAATCTTGAAAATGATTAATGGACTAAAAGCCAAGAAAGCAGGCGGACCCGATCGCATACCTAACCGTGTTCTCACTGAATGTTCCGGGATCATTTCATCGTATTTGGAAGTCTGATTTAAAAAATCGCTTTCTAGTGGAAGGCTTCCTGGTGAATGGAAACAGAGCAAATATAGTACCAATACACAAGGATGGTCCGAAAAATGTTCTTCAAAACTATAGACCCATTCACTTCTCTGTACCTGCTCTAAACTTATGGAACACATGATATACAGCAATATGTTCGATCCATACTCAGCTATCTCACTCCCGCGCAACATAGCTTTAGGAAAAACTATTCATGCGAGAAAGAGCTGGTTGGACTTCATCATGCATCTTGCATACTCATGTGATAATAGGCTCCAAGTAGATTGCATATTTCCTGATTTTAAAAAAAGCATTTAACGCAGTATCTCATACGCTTATCATTTATAAACTTTCAACGTTAAACTTCTCGAGTAATATTCTCGCGTGGCTGACTGATTACTTGCACCAGAGAAAGCAATCCGTTTTAATTAACGGCAAACAGTCGGGCGGTACTGCTGTTACATCCGGAGTACCACAAGGGTCTGTGCTGGGTTCACTTCTGTTTGTTTTTGTTTTTTTTTTAACGATATCATTTACTCACTAAATTCAAGAATTAGGCTTTACGTAGATGACTGTGTTTTATACTCCGAGATCCGTGCCATCTCAAATTGCTGTGCATTACATGATATCTCCCGTACATATTTGCGTGGTGTGATACGTGGGGCACGAAACTAAACACGGCAAAGTTTGATCATGAGCGTTTCACGCTTAAGCGTGGGCCTGTCCTCTTCACATATAACATCCGCGGAATTTCTCTAGCAACTGTACCAAATGTAAAATACCTTGGTGTATACCTTTCGAAAAACCTTGCCTGAACAAAACACGTAGACTACGTAACTGCTAAAGCAACTCGAATGTTTAGCTTTGTAAAGCGAAATTTTAATGGTTGTCCACGAAACACTACGTTGTCGTTATACCTAACATATAGTAGACCTACCTTAGAGCATGCCAGTGCCTCCTGGGACCCTAGTCAGGCGTATCTTGTTATTTAACTAGAAAAAAAATCACAGCAGCGAGGTTTATAACAGGCTACTACAATTTTAGATCAAGTGTTAGCGATTTCCAAGAGAATTGTATTTAATCCCATTAGCCCACAGGCGGCGTTCCATGCGATTGAAATTCCATCACACCATCTTTCACAACTACCTTGGTTTAAATAAAAACAACTATAGACGCTTTACACACGCGCCAGAATACAGCCGCCATTGCTGACCTTCTCTTGTTTTACCGAGATACCGAGCCACTGAAATTGGTGTGGACGAGTTTCCACAAAGGCCAATGCTGGGGAGCAAGACAGAATAAAATTTAAGATGTCAATAACCTGGCCTGCTATTCAAATAATGAAGTGAAGTGAACGTAATAAGGGGGAACAAAAACTGAAGGTCAGTTATGGCGGCGCCCATGCACAGCTGCTGCAAAGCGTCTATACGCTGCCTTTCCACTTCACATCATGATGGAAAGGCCACTCAAAAAAGTGAGAGAGTACCAATGCACAACGGAAGTGTTGAAAACTGTTTCTTTCCTTCCACAACAAGCGACTGGAACTCGCTAGTCGAAGAGTGAATAAACATAGCGTCTACATCCCCCTTCTTTAATAAAAAAATAAATAGTGACCCATCAAATTGTTTTTAATATCGATGCTCGTGCCTATCTTTCAAGAACCATGTAATTATTAGAACTTTGTTTTGCGTGTTCATGTCATGTTCCTTTTGTTTTTGCAGCTTTGCTCATCTCTACTTGCAACCCCCCCCCCCCCTTCCCTGTAATGCCTTTGTAGGCGCAGCGAGGTACCCTGAATAAATGACCGAATTTTTTTAGAGTACAGCGTCTATCTGATGTAATATAGTAACGATGCTTGCAAGCACCGTTGCTAGCGAGGTATACATGTGATGCCACCCCAATGGAGCTCTCAGGAAGATTTGAAGGCTGATTATTTGTATAACTTTTACATGCAATTTTTCCTATACCGTTTTTTTTTTTTTTAATTGGAGACAATAAATAGCTTGCTTGTAGAAGTTAAGCTTGGATATTTCGAAAATGTGTTTAGGTAGAGTAACGTAAAAAAACCGCCGGTGCTCCCCTTTAAGGAGCAATCGTTTCAGTTCGTTTAGAACACATTAGACACTCGTTTCAGGTACTGAGGAAGAACGTACGTTTCATTAGTTAACCCGCTAAGTTCAGCTGCACAATTCACTTCGCACGATATCAGGTTACATTACGTAAATCTTCCTGTTAAATTTAGCGGCGGAAACTAAGAAGGTCCATAGGTCGGGTGACGCCACTTTCCCCGCTCAATTTTGCGGGAAAGCTGAAATGGTTTCCAGGTCGTATGGCGTTAATAGGGAGTTTTCCTAGATTTTTTTTCGCCGTTCCGCAAAGCTCTTCACAACCCGCTACGGTACCCGGAACTATACAGTCAAGGCCATGGGCGCGCAGGCGCAGTAGCGGTTTCTTCGTTGCGGAGGGCTTAGCGAAGGGGGAAACGCGCTCTACGAAAACTTTCTAATTCCATCTTCATGTTTAGCGGGAGATACTAAATTCGTGTGTAGGTCACATGGCGTAATGTTTCCCCCTAAATATAGAGAGGAAATTAAATTGGTGTATGGGTCAGGTGGCATCGATTCTCCTGCTAAGTTTAGTGAGAAAACTGAATTAGTGTTTAGGTCAGGTGACGTCGATGTTCCCGCTAAAATAGTTTGTGTTTATGTCGAGAGACGTGCATTTCCCCGCTAAATTTAGCGGAGATATGCACAGGTGGATGGACGGACAGATTTATTGGGTTTGGTGGTTGCATAACCAAAAGATTTGAAGTAAAACACAAATCAATCATTATTAAAATCTAATCGCATAGACGCACTGCCGTCTAAAAGAAGAAACGATCGAACACAAATCACATGTTGACTAAATGACTAGGAAAATGACCACGAAAACGTTTGGGGTTAGGGTTCGGTGACAATGGGATTAGGGAGGTCGTTCCACCACGCTTTGCATCCATCATCGAACTTGTCGTTTGCGACTAATTGTAGGCCAACTGGATCACCACACAGGTAATTTTTTATTGTGAGGTCATAGGCAGAAAACATTAAAAGCCGCCACAAAAAAAAAAGACAATTTTTTCACGACCCAGGGAATCAGACCTTGCCCAAGCTAGAATAACTTCAATTAGCGAGAGCACCGTATCCCCCAAAAAATAACAATGATTTTCTCCCCTTCTCCCCAAAGTGTCAATAGAAATCCATATGACTACTGGAAGAGCCTGGACACGGAGGGCTGGGAGCGCGAGTTCGTCGACCAGCGGCTGATGGTGGAGAAGTACGCCAACGTTCCCGCACAAGACATCAGGGGTCTCCGGGGTCCTTTCCTCTTCACCGGGGGCGATGTCGGTTTCCGGATGCAGCACCGTCACCTCGACTACGACTGCACGCTGATCCACAAGAGGAACGGCCCGGACGACGCCCCGGTCTTTCCGTACACGCTCGACTACGGCTTCCAGAAGCCTTGCATGGTGCACCAGTGTCCTAACGACACCTATCCCGGCCTCTGGACAGTGCCCCTGAATTATCTGTTCAGAAAATATGAGGAGGAAGGAGCCGATAAATACGGGCACTGTTCGATGGCGGACGCCTGCCAACCGGAACTGAAAACTTCCAGTGATACATTTGAGTACCTAAGGTAAGTGACAGCAATACGTTGATTTCATTACACTTAAATTATATACTTGTACGGTACTCATAACAAGTAATGAAATGGCTTGCAATCGATTATTTTTTGAGTAATTTCATTTCGAGACCTTTAGATGAAGTTTATTCTGAAGTAATCGCAACAGTAATTTGATTACTGTTGGTAGTATTATAATTACTCGTAACCGTTTTTCCCCCTTCTATTCCTTATGACGCCATTTGCTCCTACAAGTGTCCTACCAATGAATCATTGAACCAAATCACCGAAAAAGGATTGGCTTACCAAAAAGTAGTCCATATTTCTGTGATTCCAATTCAATATTGGACAGTACAAATTCCCATTTTCAAACCAGCAGAAGAATCTGTCGTATTGAAATTCAGAAGTAATTGGAGAAGTAACGGTTCCTTTTTAAGTAGAGGCCAATTATGTTTTCTTCCAAGTAATACAAGACTGCGCTTAATTTAACGTAATGGACCCTTTCCGAAATTCAGTGCCATCTGGGGGCTCAAAGAGCACTTTCACTTTCGACAAATGGATGGCGGTCATGAAACCACATTTCCTAGGACACTGTCAGTTTCGCACGTCAATGGCAGGTGAAACTTGGTTCGATCACCTTGTAGTTTTTTTCTTGGTTGGTTTCAGTTTCAATGGTGTGATCATAAGAAGTGAACAGTACAAGGTGGTGATCCATCGACCCCTTAATTAAATTTCTGCTATCAAAAGGCTTTAGAGCCAAACTTGTGCTCAGGGACTTATAGGGTCACACCTTGTAATAAACGCTACGCAGCCGTTGTATCTACTTTGTGCCTGGTGTTGCACTGCAATTTTTAGAACGTACAGGCCTCGTATATAACCCGTTTGGTCGCACCTTCAACTTCTTCCTTCATCAGCTCAAAAAAGGCCGCCATTACTTTCGCACATATGCCATACACTGAAATCAACGACTGTAACGGTGATGGTGATCAACGTTGCCAGGCTGAGTTTGAAAAGAGTATATGTAACTGCGCTTTGCAAACACAATCACATTTTCTTTTCATTCACCTCCCCATTATTCTGCACACATATTTGGCCAACTCTATCGCATCTTTACCCTGGTGCCTGGAACGCGTCTCCGACTGCTGTGTTTTTCGAGTACTCAAATGTGGTCTCTCGATTTCCGCCTGATGACGTCATAGAAGTGCGAAGCTGTTGCCTGCCGCGATCCTGGTGGTCGAGTGCAGCACCACAGGGGAATGTATGAGACGCAGTGTCCTACTGCACGTCGCTCTGAACTCAGTTCACGGAAGCCTAAACAGCCCGAAGTTGGGACGCTGCGATGATAGTGACCCTCGCGTTCGCTCGCCTTTCTTGCCAGGATACCTACGACCAACCGTTAAGGGCTGTTTATACTCCAACGTCGACGAACGCAACGCGCGCCGGCGCAGACCGACGTTCGTCGGCCACTACGTTGCGCCGAGAAGCGCCCGAACGATGGTGTTTACACTCCAGCGCAGACCAACGCTGGTCCAGCGCGCCCCGACGAACTGCCCCACTTTATGCATGCGCGTCTTCGTGGCAACCGCATCGTCTCTACGCACACAATGGGCGGTAGCTTGCGCCATCTAGCCTAGAGGCAATCGGTCAGTGTGGTTCGTCTTCGTGTTGTCATGTCACGCTTCAAAACAACCATTCGGGGTAGCGGTTAGCAGTTCGAAAACAAGCAAATGATGGTGATAACGAGTGAAAACCAGCATTTATTTTCTTCTAAATGCCACACAAATGTCAACGAAAAAAAAAAAGAAAGAAAAATCCCGTTAACCTTCGAATTTAGCTGCATGCAGATTCGCCGGAATCCTGCCAAGCGACTCCAGCGATTTCGAAGGGATGCTTCAATGAAATCTATGTGCTCGATATTCCACAGAAACCTCTTTCTGAGAGGTAGCCGGTATGTTATCATCATAGTAGACTTCCACGCTGACTTAAGAAACGGACACCGAAGAGAGCGGACGATGCCTAAATCACGCAATGTACGCGTTCGAAATTGTAACGCACTTTACAAAGCCTATAAAAACAATACAGGATTCAGTCCAATTGTCATCGAGTATCGCTACTATCGCTTACAAGCAGAGATCATTTACAAGCTGGGACAGCCCAATTGAAAATTTCTGGCCGGCTAAATAGTTCAGAGGTTTCCGTGACCGCCGTTCCCGTACATTCGACGCCGCTTTTTCGATCGGGAACGACTGCCGGTGAGTGCGACTGGCACATGATAATAAATAGCACACACATCAGGTCATCCTTAATACTAATTAACCCTACCTCTGGCGCGTCATCGAGCTTCCAGCTTTTGCCGGCAGCCCAACACCACGGCTTACCACCACCGGCTCGTTAGGTCGATAGGCCTATCGAGAATCGAAGGTAGCGCATCCTCGGACTGGTCCACGTCCACGCACACAATCGCTCAGTCAAGCGCACGAACGTTAGATACGCTCACCAACACGGGAACACGACGACAGCACACGACACACGGCAAGAACGACAGGTTCAGATCCCAGAAATGAGCATCTCGCACCACACTCCGACTGGCCCCGACGACCCCGCCAACCGGATTCCCGAATGAGGCATTCGCGCTTGGGCTTCTAGGATAGCCTGCGTCGGCGGCGCCGACGTCCAACGTCGAACGTAGAGCATGTCCAAGTCCGTCGCAAGCTACGACGTCGCGCGTCGAGCTGCTCAGCGCGGCGCCGCGTTCTACTTGACGTTGGAGTATAGACACCCCGTTCGCAGACAGCGTCAGCGAGCGTGAACGAGCGCGTGCGCTCGTTGACGTTACGACGGAGTATAAACAGCCCTTTAGGATCGCGACTTCCGACGGCATGACGTGCCGGCATCTGTGACGTCATTTGTGGCTACTTCGGGACGACATTGGATGCATGGGCGGGTACAGGACGCTGAAAACACCGGTCGAAGACGCGTTCCAATGCAACGGTTCGATACTCACTTCAGTATAGTTTTCGATTCGCCACTCTATACGCCTTCTACGCAGATTCAACTTCGAGAACTTCCACAACACCAACCGGGCTCCGTTTCCCGTCTTCCTCCAAGAGGCTTGGCTCCAGGACGAAGAACGGAAGAAAGGCTACCTTCGCTTCGTGGACTGGCTCCTGCAAAAGGAAGACGTGTACCTGGTCACCGTGTCCGAAGTGCTCGACTTTATGAGGTACCCTGAGCCTAGAAGCAGCTACGCTCAGCGCCGCTGCACTAAAGAAAACCTGCCCGAGCCCACGTGTCCGAAACAGACACCTTGCCATTACCCAACGACGACGCTCGGAGGAGAACGCTACATGAGGATCTGCGGAACGACCTGTCCTGAAAACTACCCGTGGGTCAACAATCCGGACGGCAATTAGCGTCACCAAAAGTCCCCCCCCCCCCCCCGTTTCCTTTGAAAGATTTTGTTGTGTTTCTGGCCGTTGATATAAACCAGCCCATCGTCAACATACAAGTGTACTTGGTCCCAATATCTGTAGGCACCCAGAACGCACAAAGAGCCGTTTTTTGGAAGGGAGAAGCGTTGGCGCACACGCCACTCAACAGCCAGCGACACACTGCTATGGCAAAACGTCAGGACTCTATACACCAATTTATGTTTACAAACAAACCGGAGTGCCCCTAGCCGACGCCACCGACGCCGCGCATGCGCGATGGAGTGTGGGCAAGAAGCTCGCCGTCACCCATAAACAAACCATTGAAATGCGATGTTGTCGGCGTCGGTGTGAGTCCTCCGGCCCTTTTTCGCGTTCGAAATGTTGATTTCACGTCTTCCTGACAATGCCGGACTACTTGAGTCCATGGCCTCAGTGAAATTACCGAGGCTCGTTGCACCGCAAAACTTCGCGTGAATATTGTGACAAGCGGAGATTCATTCCGCGTGGACGCCGCAGAATGTACGCTAAAGCCTGATTCGCATGATGAAATTTCGCTCATAATTTTCAGCCGCGACGTCGCTCGGGCTGCAAAAGCGTGAACCGTAGCTGAGATGGTCGACGTCGATACTGAAAATCGCAAGCAGAATCGGACCAAGTGAATTGCGCATAACAAGTCGGCGATGGCCATTGGTAACAATTATCAACTTCTCCTTGCACGTACTGTTTACATCGAGCCTGCTTACCAACCTTCAAACTTAAGTTTTTTGAGGCCTGCGCTTACTTCTAATAGCAAGTACCGGGCCAACATTTGGTCTACGGGCCGGTGTCGTCTAAAAGAGCAGACGAAAAGCAGAAGTGTTTGAAAGAGCAGACGACAGTTCGAGCGATCAGGCAGCTGTTTGAACTTGAAGACGCACTGTACATAGCCCGCAGGTGGTCCGTACAACTTGACGGCTTTCCGGCGTTCATGTTAGAACAAAACAAATAAATCTAATGACCACAAGTATCCGTGAATTCAACCCTAAGTGGTACCCGCGCAAGCAATCGTGGTCCCACGGGGTCTGGTTTTCCATTTTCACGGCACATATCCACGTTCTCGGACGAACCGAGCACATGAAAACTGATCTTCAAACCTTTCTCGACTCTTTTGGTACAGCCCCAGTCGCGGCGTTTTGACAAGAAAACAGGCTTTTGTCAGGTTCCTTTCAAAACAATGCCGGAATCCACGTCTCACTCGGGGACATCTGTCTCGTTGGTGATACAGACACTGTCGGCAGACGTGTTCGGAGCGTACGTACGCGTGAAACAAACATGCATGGAACACGCGTGAGGAGCGTTCGCAGATTATTCTGTCACCGTGTCTGTAGCAAGCACCGCGTCTTTCGTATGACGTCGGAGCAGAAGGAGTGGTGAGCTGGGCTAGTTGGTGCGAAGACATGCGGAACATAAACAGCGCATAAAGGACGAGAACGAAAAGAAACACACAAGACACACACGCGCAGTGTGCGTTCCTTTCCTTTGTCCTCGTCCTTTATGTGCTGTTATATGTTCCAGGCGACGTAGGAGCAGTGTGACTCCGGCTCTTGAAATGTGGGCCTGACCAGGTGTCGTCATGGCATCTTGCTTCGCGATTAGGGACGTCATTGCGTCCTGCAGGTGGTCATTTCTACTTGCTCTTAGCGAGACCAAAAACCAACTACAAATTCGATGGTGCGAAGTGTATGAGGAAGAAAGTACACACCCTGCAGGCACAGCCAGTACCGCAATAGACGCTGACGTGATGCCCAGCGCACGATGCATGTGTTGACAGCGAAGTGATAATAGAGAGTTTTAGTTGGATCGTTCCGACGAGTCGGATAACGATACCCGATACTCCGCCACCGCCTTTGCGCGTGCACCGTATCTTAATCGGGTGTCCTTATCGAAAGCTATCCGAGGTGTCGGAACCCTCAACTAAAACTATATTCAAGTGCTTGAAAAAACGATAAAACGCCGGACTATATTTTGTATACAACCTAGACGTCATACGTCACGTACATAAAGTCACCGCGACGTCACAACGCCATGCGACATGAGGACAACGCCTTGACGTCAACGTCGTCATCGACGTTGACAACGTGCGTTACGCGACATCAAGACTGCGTTCTGACGTCATATTGCGTTGACAACGACGACGATGGCGTCGTTGATGTTGATGACGACGACGACAACGTCCCGGGACGTCCAGATGACGGCATCCTTGTCAATACAACGTCATAAGGACACTTCGTGTCAGTTCGTTGACGTCATTATCGACATGACGAATTTCGACGTCACGAAGACGTCCCGACAGCTTCACGACGTCGACGTCATCGTCGTCGACGTTACGCGACGTCAAGACTTCGTCGTGACTGCGCATCAAAGTCGATGCTGGTGAAGGCAACGACGTTACACGCCGGCAAGGCTTTGTCGTGACGTTGACGTTCACAATGACGTCAGGACGACGTTAACGTGACGTCATAGCAATGCTTGGCGTTGCGTGGGGCGTCGACGTCAACGTCGGCATCGATGGCCACGTCCACGTCGTCCTCGATGTAAATGCGCGACGTCATGACCGCGTGAAAACGGCGACTTGATGTCGCGCAACGGCGTCGTCCTCAACGCGGCGCGATGTCGCGACCGCGTCACAACGGCGACTTGATGTCGCGTAACAGCGTCGTCCTCAACGCGACGCCATGACCGCGTTAAAACGACGACTTGATGTCGCCAAACGGCGTCGTCCTCGACGCGCCGCGATGTCATGACGGCCTTACGACAGCATCTTGGCGTCTCGTAACGTCTTCGACGATGACGTCGCGGCGTCGTCGTGTCCTGGTGCTTTGACGTTACCTCTGACGTCAAAATCATAAAAAAATGCAATATAGCCCCTAGGGGACTATATTGCACATATGACCTTGACCTGTGTCGTTGCTCGAACGCAGCGAAGGCCACCTTTGCTGCGTTCGCAGCGAAGGTGGCCTTCGCACTTTGATCGCAGCGCACCCTGCGATCAAAGTGGCTTGGTTCCTCCTGATTGCTTTCCACATCTTGAGGTGTAACTGAAAGCATGAGCCTATAGCTCGTCCCACTCGTGAGAGAGAGAGAGAAGGGTTTATTAAGGAAGGACAGAGAGGTTAACCTGAACGTAGGTTCTGGTTGGCTACTCTGTACTGGGGAGAAGGGGAAGGGGGAAGAAAAGGTATGACGACGAGGAAGAAAGATGAGGTGAAGTTGTCAATGAGGGTGAGCAATGGTACAAATGTTCAAAATCTCACAGGCATTTTTAAGCACCCTACAAAGTGTCTGATAATTTCGTGTTCGTGAGGAACATTACCAAAACCTTCGTGGCCTTCATGAATTGGTCAGTTGTGTCCCAGGCACCAAGCACTTTTGATGAGCAGAAAGGCCGCGAGTCCAACGCCATTAATGTCTGTTCCGGCACTTGTCGATCTTCTTCGAATTTATCACATTCACACAGGATATGTTGAATTGTCCCTTCAACTTCGCAGCTTGGACAGTTCGAGGAATCTCTCCTTTGAATCCGATAAAGGAACTGCGGTGTATATGCCACACCAAGCCTTAGTCGGTGCAGGACCGCCTCTAGCTGTCTTGAAAGTCCAGATGGAACGCGGAATGCAAGTTGGGGATCAAGCGAGTATAGCCTGGGATGGTGGTAATGTGGATTCATCCAGTAGTTTTGTGAAATTGCTTTTGCCACGTCTTGAACCAAAATTTTCGTGTCACACCTGGAGTAGGGTATGCAAAATTTCTTGCCGTTACTGATTGATTTTGCTGCACTATCTGCTGCCTCATTGCCGGCGACACCACAGTGACCTGGTATCCACTGAAGAGTTATGTGATGACCCTGCTGGAGGGCCCGGTGGCAGGTGCAGAAGATTTGGTATGCCAGAAAGTCGTACGCATTATTTTTCATAGAAGACTGGATTATTTGTAGCGCTGGTCTTGAGCCACTGAAGATGGTCCAGTTCTGGGGTGCTTGACATAGGATGTACCTTACTGCTTCTCGTATGGCCGCTAACTCAGATGCCGTTGATGTTGTTTTGTGTCCTATTTCAAAACTGGAGGAATTACTGTGGGCGGGTATTACAATCCCAGCTCCAGCTCGTTCTTCAGAAGAGGATCCGTCGGTGTATACATGTGTCGTCGAGCCGTATGTTTCATTAATGACCCTTAATGCCAGTTGTTTCAGTACAGGCAGTGGAGTTGATGACTTCTTATGAATGCCTTTGATGTACGGAACTACTTCTGGAGTCAAGAATGCCCATGGCGGTATGCTTCTAATAGATGGTCGATTGAAATTATTTAGAGTAGTATTGTGCTTTCTTATCGTTCTGGAGAAGCTAGACTTTGGTCTGTTTGTAGGTAACGTTGCTAAGTGATGGCGAGAATGTTGTGTAAGGTGCCTCAAGTGCAACCGCAGCGTCTCTTGTACCATGTATGCTTCAATTGGAAACCTGCGAGCCTCCGCAATTGTCCCGGGCGTGGGAGCCTTAAACAGGTTCGTAGAGCTTGCGCCTGGATGCTTTGGAGGGCTCGTATATTGGTAATGCAGGTGTTGTTGATGACCGGTAAGGTGTACCTCAGAAGTCCGAGGAAGAAGGCTTCGAACAGTCGCTGTAGGCAACCAACAGTTGCGCCCCATGTTGTGCCACTGATGAATCGCATGAAATGCACTATGGATGGCAGCTTCATTTTCAGTCGGGATACATGAGGCGTCCACGTTAAGCCTCGATCCAAAGTTATCCCCATTAACGTATGCTTCCGGACGTGCGGAAGTTTTTCTCCACAGATAGTAGTAGGGTATCTGTCAATTAACTTGCGGGAAAACGTAATCACAGCTGATTTGGAAGTTGATATTTGAAGTCCACGTTTGATGAGATACTTATGGGTAACTTTCAGAGCGCTTTGGAGTCTCGCCCGTATCTGAGGACGTGTGACACCGG